TTATCGAAGCACCGTTTAGGTTGAGAATTTGTGTATTTCGCTACAGCTGTACATGTTTTGTCGGCGGGAATCTAGCAAAACTTGTTATTTTAGTACAGATTTAACACTACTGTTGCTAACAATGGTCTCGGTGAGCCATATTTACTGCAGAAAAATAGTTCGCTTCCACTGCGTTTGTCTGAGTCACAGGGGATGTTTAATTTTGGTCAAATTTGTCAAAATTCCGTAGCAAAAATTTGAAAGCCAACTTACCATCATCAACCCGTGTTCTGTTCTCTGATAAAGCACGTTGTTTCAGCCAATCAGAGCGCGCGTTATATGGAAACTTTATTATAATACAACTTAACATGACTTAACAAGACAATAAGAATGTCTGTGACATGCTAAAAGTGACTTAGACATATGTATTCTAGCGTGCTTCAATGTATGAAATCTACATTTTCTTTAGATTCTCGCTACAGCTGAAGTGCATTAGCGGTAAATAATTTTCCTTTCTAGGCAGTAAATTATATTATATGATTGACGGTTCTAGTTGTTAAATGTGATAGTCCTTTTTGCATACAGTCCACAATGTTTTAAACCGACTTTAAGAAAAAACGGCTTTTAGGCCAGACAGCCGGATAGTTTACATCGCAACCTTACCGCTTGTTTTTGTTTTTTTAATTCCTAATTTTGGCGGAATATTTGGCGAATTTAAGGCCATTCATGCCTTATCCCGATCGAAGAGCACGTCTAGAGAATATTTACTTCAAGTTAATATTATTTTATGCGGAAAACTTAAAATTTTACGTGGGAAACTTAGGAACAATAATCGGTGCTAAATTGGGTCACGCACGCTTTCGCGGTTGAATATTAGCTATGTTGATCGAACTCCGTTAGTTCAAAAAGGTTAGTGCCAAAGTTTTTTTCCTGCTCCCGGTACACTAGCCCTAGTACTAAACATGGATATTGGTCAGAGCTCCAGATCACGTTATGCTTTTGAGAAACACTTCTTTAACCAGCAACATGTCCGCTTAAATTTTGAATACTCTTTGTTGGGCATTTTCAAAAAATCATGATTAATTTATCTTGAGCTCGATTTCAAATGTTTTACCGTTAATCAAAAGAATAAACATGAAATAAAATGATCAGTAAGTTTAATAGTCTTTGAGTAAAAGCATAATTTTTCAGCGCCTTTAGCGAAACGCCTAAATTTGACTCGAAACGGATCGATTTTCACGGTTTTGGATGGTCTTCGGAAATCGTCACCAGGAATATTGAAAAATAGCATTTAAAGCCAAATTATTGCTATTTTTGTTTATCATATGGACTAATTGTCTCGCACAGGAAATTTGAAGAAATTCTGCTCTCGGCCGAAAATCGAGTGGCTGGTTCTTACACTGACAGCTTCTTAAGAGGTACCAATTCTAAAACAACACATTATTAATCTCCTGTCATATTTGTGTACTGCTCAATGCCCTAAAAGAAGTCACGAAAAGCTCCCGCTGTGGGCCTTTTACGGATGAACACCCTTAGAGCTACCAAAATCACTTTTTCAACCTCTAAAAGATACGACGAACACCACCGTAATTTTTATAAGAACCACCGGAAAATGAATAGGCTTGTATTCTTTATAAAGGACTCCTTGTGGAAAACTCTTCTTCAGAGTTTTCGCCTAGACGTATGTGCTATGATTGCGAGAGCTCGATGAAGTTTTATCTGGAGTCGTTTGCTCTATTCCTGTACCTTCGATTCGATAGGACGTAAAACATGCTAAAGAATAAGTCAATGTTTCAAGCAGGATTTCCTTGTATTCCGAAATTCTTAAAGGATAGACAATAACATTGATGAACGAGTTACTAAATTGCAACACCTTCATGATATGAATCATTAAATATGGCAAGCTTCGACAAGGCAAACAAAAGAAAATAACGATGTTAATAACATGGAAAGGCAGCCAGGTGATAATGAACGCTCCGGTGATAAGAAACAATGTTTTTGCCAATTTCTCATCGCGACCAGCTGCCTGAGGCATGTCAGGATGTCGGCACCTGTGTTTCCTCCACATCACAAAGTATGCCATGGACGTGAACAGAAGAGGGGTTGACACGGATGCGTTTATTATGACAAAAAAGGCCAATGGTGATATCATGTAGAAATGCAGAAGCACGCGGGATAAAATTCCCAACAAACCTACGATCCACGGGATACCAATGACACATTTGTAAAAATTTGACGTCAGTGCGCGGTGACGAAAAGGCCAGACGATGGCGTGCATTCTTTCCAGTGAAATACTCGCCAGTGTAAAGATGGAGATCACTCCCGTGAAAATGTCCACACATTGGAATGAAAGATTCAGAAGAAGCTTGTTCGAGTGAATCCCAACAGCAATGTACAGAGGAACCGATAAGGCTCCCACCAACATATCTGCGATGGCCAAACTAATTAACAAGAAGTGTGGACGTTTCCGGAGTCTTCTTTTCAGGAACATTCTAGTGGTGATAAGGTTACCTGTGGTTACCACTATGGCTGTCAAACTAAATGTTACTGTCCAGAAAGTATTCCAGTGTGTGAAGTCCATTGCACTTGTTCTAAAATGCATAATAAAAAACGGACATTATTAAATGATTATGGATTGTCCTCTGCTATTCTAGCGAGACTGGACGCAAGTGAACTCGACTTAAACACTGAAATGTATGTCTGTTTCAGCGCAGAGTATATAGACAAGGGGGTTTCAAAAAAAATTCCACCGCTATGATTATTCACCAGGTATGATTTGACCAAAAGATTACCGAGCACAACACTGATTACGTTAAAACATGGAAATTTCATAGGGATGCGATATGTCTCAAAAGTAAAAAAAACGGTAGCAAAACACCTCAAAGCCTTATCAATAACATTTTTAACGCAGTTCAAAGTGTGAGAGGGCAAAGCTCCCGATTCCATAACCTCGCTATGAAATATCTTAAATCCGTCGTCTCTTCTGTCGCCTCTGGCTCGAATCATGTTGTCAGCTTTGTATCTGTGAATGGCTGGCACAGATGTGTTGCTTATGAAAAGACCTTTACAGAAATTTTCTGTAAACACTGCCGTTGAAAAAATATTGAATCGGCTCTCTCTGTTATGATTTTACTTAACATTAGGGGTGTATATCTACATCCAACCTGATTCTAAGCGGAACAAATTTTGTACCATATACTTCGGTGTCTTTTTCGAAAGTTTCAGCGAAGCTGAGTGGATACTGATATAAGTTAAAAATCGATTACTCGTATATTCTAAAAGGGCCTCAATCTCAGATTTGTATCAGATTACAATAATGTTCTGGTTTCTTAAGGGCAAAATCAAACGCTATTCCTTACAAGAAAGCAATAGATGTAGACATAAATTGATGGCGGGCAAGACAATAAGCTTTGATCTAAATGTAAATTTTGGAGACTTTTTTTGCAATGAATGTAAGTAAATAATAAAAAATGAAAAAAAAAATGTGAGTCGTATCGGTAACAAATCTTAATTAATAGGGAGATTGAATCCAGCTTTCTTTTTTTCATTAAAGAAAATAGATGACTTCTAAACTTCAACACATTGACACTAAAACTTTATTATTTAAATATTGTCACCAAAAGATGAGTAATTCGAACTTCGACCGCCAAGTGAACTGGCTGCTAACCACGATACTAAATATCGTTCAATTCATGTTTAAACACATCTGGTAACTCGGTCTCTTGGCAATACACTTACCTTGGATTTAAGCGTAGTTTAATTTGTGACTGTGAGGTAATCCTGTAATGCCTTCTTTCATGTTATCGTTTTATATATGCTCACCATAAGACAAACGACTCGTACTGCGAGGAATCAAGTATATATCATCAAGTGTATCAACCATCACTAGATAAAGGTAAGCCAGGAGCCAGGAGATAAATGTAAGCCACCTCAGTGTTATCGCCTTCAGTCCATCAAGAGTTTAAGTGCTACTGTGACGAAATCGATTCTTATTGGTTTTCGTAAGGCACGCTAGCGATAGCAATTTGCAATGTCTCCAATGAGTCTCGTTCTAACATCATTTTTTTTTGTTAATGTTTATTAAATGATGGCGTGTAAAAACAAATGCTCCTGATGTTTTGCAACCTTCAATCGCACTTTACCAAAAATAACTTTTCGGGCATTTCTACCTCATTTTTATTGGTTCGTAAGAAAACCATGGTCACAAGCCTACGTAACTTTTAAAAAGCTTTTGACCTGTCTGTCACCTTAATTACATTAGTGGAACACTGACGGATGTACATGGATTTAGCTGTGTGCATTTTTTAGGAGTTGAGACGAATACTTAAGTAAGAGAGTAACTTAATGCTACCTGCCTTATTTTTGCTTAATTTTTTTTTGTTTATGAAAGCGCACGCTACTAAACAGAAATGGAGAGATTCACAGACGTGACATTTAAGGGACTGTTCGCGATTCACAGAAAAGGAAATTGCACACTGAAATTAAACTTCTTCCTCCCAGACACTGTTTGAAAAAGGCAATGCGATCGATATAAATTTACGATAAAAG